CCTTTTCTTGGCATTTGTGGTGTCAAAAAGCCATCTTTGGGTGCAAGAACCAAACTTGTTGCTCCATTTTCGTATTTCCTTGAAGTCAGAACTGTGAGGACCTTTTGGTGAGCTCCAAGAGCACTCTCTCCTCTGTTTTAAGCTTTGGGGTGAGTTACCTTATCATGATCATGAGTTTTTATGGCTTAAAGGTAGTGTCTTTGCATGTAAATGAGTTAATCATGTAACCAACTAATAGTTGAACCTAAATGAGCTTAAAGATGCATGCTTTAACGTGTTTAAGTGTTAAAAATGGAACCTTGAGAGGATATCTTCGTGAAATGCAGAAACTGCATTCTGTCGCGAAATATCCAGATATTTGCCCGTGAAATATCCGGATATTGATATCCGGATATGGACAGTGAGATATCCGGATATTGGATATCCGGATATGTCCCCGAGGAATATCCGAATATTCTGAGAGTTTGAAGAACAGTAGCTGCACTGTTCATACAGTAGGCTATTGGGGGTTTGTGGACCCTAGATTGATGAAGTTGAACTTCTGTTTTAATTGAACTAAGTCAGAATCAAGTGTTTAAGGGCTTGTGGCTTTGTTTGAAGCCTTAAGACGTAAAACATAAAAGGAAAAACGTAGTCTTTATGTTTATGCTTTTGAGCTTTGTTGTTGATATGCTTGCTGGTCCTACATCAGATTGTGATCTGCTGTGTTTTGGGCTTTGAGCTTTGATTTGACTCTTGGCATTGGATTGAGAGATTGCAAGGTAAGCTTTTGTGTCCTCGGATTAGTCTGTTGTTTGTTCCACCGACCTCCATGGGAGGGTGGTTTATATGCATGGTATGCTTTTATGAAAGATGAAATATGCATTGATATATGCCTCAGATGTATTAAGTTAATTGATATGTGCTAAGATACCGAGACTATAATGACACCACTGCAGTAACTTTGAGGTCAGTTTAAGGTCATCTAACTTCAAAATTAAGCTTAAATCTCTCGACAAGTGATAGATATGCTTCTAAGCTTTTCAAAAATATTAAAGAATGCTCAAATCTATGGTGTGTAGCCCAAGATGTGGGTGAAATAGTGAACTATGTTATATTATAAGAAGTTGTTGTACAATTTCAAAATTTGTAGTTCCTCCAAAGCAATGGTACAGAAGATGGTAGTTTGCATTCTTGATCAAAGCAATGGTACAGAAGATGGTTTTTTCCTCACTTAATTGTTGAAATTGTCCAAGCTAAGAACGTGCGCAATTCAATCAACCCCCAATAAGAACCTGAAAGGTCTTAAAAAAAAGCATTGGCTGAGAAATTGACATTATTTTCTCATCAACCACATTGTCCATTTGGAATATAATTAGTTAAATTTGACATCGGAAAATGCTAAAGGACTTTTTTTGACCTTTCATAAGCCAAAATCAAGACATTTTATCAATTTAATTTTTTTTGCAAATTATTTATCAATTTAATGCGAGTGAAATATACATAGAAAGTGAGAGCATTTAAGTCGTGCATCATCCAGGCGCTTGCCACGTGTGACACGCTCTGCAAGACGCATATGATATGCATGTGCAAGTTGAGCGCGTATGGCCAAGGTGCACATCTTGACTGATTTTGGACAAATCACACATAGAGATGATGCACGTCATAAATGTGCATAATTTCCATATACATTTCACTCATAATAAATTGATAAATAATTTTGTCAAAAGAATTAAAGCTGGTGAAATGTTTATGTTTTTGTATTAAAAGAATCAAAAAGCCTTCTGAAAGTAGAGACGGGGAAGATGAAGGCTATCGCTGCTATGCAATAACTTTTTCTTTTTGTTAATGCTCAAAGGATCAATTTCTGCAAAATCCGATATCTATTGAGTTAATCAGAACCGTTTATATGGATATAAGAAAAATACTGACATGTATTTTCAAACACTACAAAAGCAGTGTATTATTTGTGGGAAAAAAAATGTATAGTGTTTGATTTCGTTTTGGAATTTTTTTTCTTTTACAAATCTAAAGTAAAATAAAAATTACTTGGTTTTTTGTTTTTGTAATTTTTTGTTTTATTAAAACTTTTTATATATAAAATTCATTTATAGAATAGAAAATTAAGTGCATATTTTAATTGTTTTTATGAATTTTCTTCTTTCACTTCACATCATGGAACATCGACCAAAGTGTTACTGTTTGGCAAAAATTTTATCTATATGCCACGCGAATAATACTTTTTACCAAACTGTCATGCGACGTAATTTGTTACGACTGGTAGCGAATTACGTTCGCCAATAATTTTGTGACACGTGGCATATTTTCGCAGAAAAAAAGCTGATTAGACAAAGTTGGCTACTAGTGGTAGCGAATTTGCTACCCATTGTGGCCACGTGTCACGAAATCATAGGCGAACGTAATTAGCTACGTCGAGTGGCAGTCCGGTAAAAAATATTGTTCGCGTGGCATTTTGATAAAAAATTTGCCAAAAAATAGCACTTTATTCACTGTTCCTCACATCATCTGGTGACTCCACCACCATCACCGCGATCATTATCATCGTCAAAGCTAGGGGTGTTCATCAACCGATCCAAACCGATTCAAACCGCGGTGACCGAACCAAAAAACCGAAAACCGAATTAACCGAAAACCAAAAAATCAAAAACCAAAAAATCAAAAACCGAAAAAACCCCGCAAAATTTAATTGGATTGGATCAGTTTTTGGATGGGTTGGTGAAAACCGATCCAATCCAAACCGATCCAATTATTCTCCAACCTTACTATCTACCTAATTGAGCCTTTCCTCAATCATAGCCCAAAAATCATACAGCAAAATTCTAAATCCAAGACTCATCATGTTGGAGAAAGTGGGTTGTGCTTGATCTATGTTATGCTTTTTTTTTTGGTAAAATACATAATATATTTTTATTACATAGGTTATTGTTGTACAACAACTCCTCTATAGGATGGAAATTTGGGTTACTTCGTATCTTAAGCAACCATATTATAAATTTTTTGTTGAAAGTAAAAGATGATAATTTAACTTTTTATTGTACAATGCTTCTAGATTGCACAATAATTATGATACAAACTTTACAAAGCCGATATATATCAAAGATATGTTATTTGCCAAATAATCAGCATATAAATCTTAGTCTTTTCAAAAAATCGAAAACCGATCCAATCCAAACCGAATAAAATTGGATTGGATCGGATCGGGTTTAAAAAAAAATTCAAACTGAATAGTTGATTACATGGTTAAACCGAAGAGATTGGATCAGATGATTTTTACTTCCAAAACCGATCCAATCCAGACCGCGAACACCCCTGGTCAAAGCGTCCTCAATTCTTTAAAATTTAGTTTCAAACAAAATTAATCAAATAGGTGTTTCTGATATATATATTTTTAAACAGCCCATAAGGCTATACTTTTTTTTTTTAATTGTTCTAAAGGTATCTCCAGTCGAAAGTCAAAGATTAAGAGCCTATTTGGATCCTCTCTTTTTTTAGTTAGAAGCTACTTTTAAGTTAAAGAAAAAAAAAAGAGTTTTAAAAAAACTAAAAACTGTTTGGTAATTACATAAAAAATTTAGCTTAAAAGTTACTTAAAACACATATTTCAAGAAAACTGTCTTTCTCTATCTTTGTAGCTCTTCATTTTAAAAAAAAAAAAGCACACAATTCAAGAAAAGCAGATAACCTAAGAGCTTTTAGTTTTTAACTTTTTTCTTCATTATAAAAAAAAATTTATTATAAGAGCTTTTCTCAAAACCTATTTGGTTAGCTCATGCTTATAAGTAGCTTCTAGCTTAAAAAAGAAAGGATTCAAACAAGCACTAATCCCCTCGAGACGAAGAGATCACGCAATTATGGATACATCATTTTCCAACAAAATCTTTTTTATATACACGGTTAAAAATCAAACACCTTTCAAGATGCTTAAAAAATCCAATTATCTGCCAACTACGCCAAACTTTTTCGATAACCAATCACTCAAATATTTTACAAACAAATATTTGACAATATGTCGTGAGACGCAATATCCTGTAGATATCAATTTGCAGACTTGCCTTGTACGGCTGATTGACCAGCCCATTTTGTCCCTGTACATTCATAGGTTTAATATAATTTCAGTCATTTTTATAATAATAGCCAATATAAATTAATATTGTAAAATCTAATAACCAAGTAAATGAAAACATCAAAATTAAAACCCCAAGGAACATATTATCGAGACCAAAACCCAAATTATAAAAATTATTGAAACTAAAATCTTAGTTTAAACCTTTTTATAATTAAAAAAAAAAAAATTGCAACTCGAACTTTTATGATTTCATTCTCACCAGCTGAATTGCAACTTGCAAGTATTGCTTTCAAAATTTCTTCACTTTCATCACTTACGACTAAGCTTTTAAAAAAATTACTTTTTATATATTATTTTTAAAAAAATAATTTTTTCTAAAAGATAAAGTTATTTTACATTTGAATGTATGATCTGAAAAATCACTTTTACATAAAAAAGTTATTTGAATGTTAAAATAAAAAAAACACTTTTTGTATATATAATTACAATAAAGGAGATAAAATAGCATGATCGAGAGATAAGAAAAGATAAAATAGATATGATAAGATGAAATTAAAATTGTATTTTAAAAATTTATATTATCTTATTTCCAAAAAAAAATTATATTATCTTTTAATTTCTGCTTTTTTTCAAAAACAACCAACTACTATCTAAAAAAAAAGCAACATTTTAACTTTTATTTTAAATTTTGCTTTTTAAAAAAATTGTTATCCAAACATCTAAAAATTCTCAAAAGGACTTTTATTTAAAAAAAAAAAAAAAAACATTTTTAAGAATAAAAGCCCATCCAAACGAGTACTTAGTCCCAAAGGTCCAAACGCACTCTCATCCTCAACTAACTAAATCTCAAGTTCACATATAAACATAAAGAAATTCTTCTGACTGAAGTAAAACAAAAACAAAATATTTCAACAAATCTTGTCATGTATAATATGAATAAAAATCATGTTTAACCTAGTACATAGTTTTGAATCCAGCACATGTAAATCCATAAAATACAAACACATAAGGAATGGTCTGTACATATATAACTGTCCACCTGCAGGGAAGATATATAGATCTTTTGAATATGCAAGCAGGCTTTGACAGATGAGGAATTACAACAGTGACTGATTCGGTTGTGACCATCCACATGCCTACAACCCTCCAAAACCACAAATCTAATAAGCCCCCAAGCCAATGATATCAGCTAAGTTTTACAAACATCAAAAGATAAATAACCCTACTCAACAAAACCGTTATCCTCAAAGTAAAACATAGAGAATGAAATTATTGTAACTTCAACAAAATTAGTACTAGTCAAAAACTAGAGAGGTTACAAAACATCTTACTATGTGCACATCTGATGATTAATAGTAAGAATCAGATTCCACTGGCAAGGTAATGGATGAAGGAGGCACAAAAGGTTTTTCTAAGCAACCTTTCCTTACCTCAGATAAGCTCTAGGACCAAGAATTTTATTGTCGAGAGATTGGTGCCATAGGCATTGATGAGGGCTGGTTATAGTAATTTCCATCTGAACCTTGAAAACCCTGATATGTATTCATTGGAGCAGGCGTAAAAGGGGAGATACTGTTCATGGAAGCCCCAACAGCTGGATAGGCTGCCATTGATGGCTGTTGTGTCATGCCATAGCTGTATGCCATACTGCTAATTGATCCAGCAGTCTGCATGAACTGCGGCACGGAGTACTGTGGCAGTGGTGGAAGTGGTGGCAATGGGGGAGGTGATGATGAGGGTGGAGGTGGTGGTTCATTGGGAGTAGGATGATGGTTGGTTGTAGATGCATTGTGTTGCATAGATTCAGAAAGTGAAAAGGGAGGAAGTGGTTGTTGTTGTTGTTGTTGAGGATTCTGAGATGCTATATAAGATGACTGATCACTCTCTAGTTTAGTCCTCTTCTCAGAATGATACTCAGCAGAAGACTCTTTAATGGGATTGCCTATGACACCTTCTGATGCTAGTGAGGATAGCACATAAGACAGCATCTCGGCAGAGGATGTTGAAGCTGTCAGTTTCGCCGCCACTGCCGCAGCTGCAGACTTGCGCGGATCTTGTTCAATGTGTCCAGATTTTTGAGAAAATGATAATTGTGGTGTGTACATTAATGGAGCTGACTGCTCCCTATCACCAGAAATAAAACTTGCAGGTGTCATGGTGATTTGAATTTCCTTTGAGTTCTGATCAGCTATTGACTGAATATTGTTGCCATTCAGTAATTGTCTGCAGGTATTGCCCGCCTGTTCTGACTGAACACGTGCAGCCTGAAATGTTAAGAACATAAACACTTGAATATGTGAAAGATAACCATGCCGCTTCAAGTAACAATGTTCTTACATAATACACAAGATATTGATGAATTCAATAGTAGTTTTCTTCTTTTTGTCCCCGATTGACAATAGTAAAGAAAAATCTACCACACCCCATCCATCCGTTAGAGCTGAAACTAAAGATCAAATAAATATAATAAAAGCCCACATTACTGTAAAAAGAAAACTGGTATCCACCCTTAATAAAAGTCCAATTGTAATTTTATTTTGACATAATTAATCATTAATATTAAACCATTCATGCCACTTTGCATGAATGGTTTTATCCTTGGATATAATTGGTTCATGACATGGCATCAAAATCTCTATGATCAAAGTGTTTGATCCTCATCTTCCATCATTCTTCTAATAAAAATGTAAATTTCAGTATAAGGTAAAGTAAGCCTATGCATTTTGTCCATGCTTTAGCCCAAAGGACTATTAGCATGAGAAGGCGTATATAAAACCATTTACGATCCTTTCATATAACAATTTAAGTTTTTACCTTGGTTAATGACATTATAGAAATACCAATGTAGCAGATAAAGATGTTTAAAACATTGAGAAAAAAATAGATTTGCTTTTGATGGCAAAAATAAAATCATAACATGGAAGAATAGTTCCAGATACTCCTCAATTAGGACTTACAGGACAAACTTCTCCACATCAGCCCCCCTCCCTAAAAAAATAGTCTTTAATGTCCTCTTCTCTTCCTTCCCCAATATAATTTATCTGTTAGCTATTAAGCGATTTGAGTTAATTATGAACATTTCAATCCATAATTAACTAATATGCCTTTTGTAAAGAACCTTGGGATACACCACCCCAAAAGCTAGCTCAAAGGGTGGGAGTGCCCAAGACCTTATAAACTCCACATTAGTTGCTCATACAACCAATGTGGGACTATATATCTCAACACGCCCCCTCACACGAGAGCCCATTGGGCTTGAAGAGTGGATGATGCAACAGGCCCAGTCTACCTGTGCTAAGAAATTCCACAAGAGAAAGTGGGAGGCGGCGAGGATCGAACCCGGGACACGAGGCTCTGATACCATGTAAAAAACCTTGGGATACACCACCCCAAGAGCTAGCTCAAAGGGTGGGAGTGCCCAAGACCTTAAAAACTCCACATTAGTTGCTCATACAACCAATGTGGGACTATATATCTCAACACCTTCAATGCATGCATAACATACAAAATGTTATATAATATTGAATTTTTAAAGCAATACAATCAAGTTCTACTACTTTATCAAGGCTGCCACATTTATTGATTTCATGCAGACCAAGTTCTAAATTTCTGTTGTCTAGGTGGGCAAAAGGATGAACTACTATCTACAGTTATTATTATTCTTACAATTGCTTTATATTACCCATTGCTGGTTTAGTGCCATTTTTCCAATAGCTTAATAAAATAGAAGTCTAAATAATATTAATGTTTATCAATTATCAATCATGCCATATGGTAACCTATTGAAAGACAAACCAATCATTTCTTCTCTTGATTTTATTTCCCCTGCTGATAAAACCACTAATGTCCTCTTAGGGAAGTTACTCATAACCATTGACTTTCAGATAAATAACAGGAAAAAAAAATTGTGTACATGTCATCAGGCTTAAAATCAGTATTGAGACTTTGCCATATACTTTTATAAAAACATAAAGAATGAGAGAAGCTATATAACTACTCAACGAATTTGGACAAGTTCCAAACCTGAATCTGACTACGGACTTGACCCAGCTTGAATTCCTGGGAACAAAAACATGTCAGAATTATATACTATAGGTTTCATACTCTTGTAAAGATAAACAGCCTTAAAAAAGAACCTGATCCTGGAGAGCCTCTCTCAAGTAAGTCACAAGGCTAGCTCTTGATGCTTCTATTGCTGTTAATTGCTCAATGCAGTCCTTCAGTACGCCATTATGCCCCTGGAGCTCATCCACTAGCGCAGATCCATGGAATTGCCCTACACATTCATGTTTGAAAAGCAAAGGATATCCAATAAGAAGCAATCAACAAGCATTCCAACTTAATTAAATAAAATTAACTAAAAAAGACTCATAATGCTTTTTACTTAACATGACAACACATACACAAAGTGCATGAGATGAAGTTAATTCCAATTTAAAGCGAGATATTTCCTTGAGCTAATGCAGTAAATCACTAACGACCACGTTATGCAGGGCAAAGGCTTGCCTCATTTAATTTCTATGGTTTTTGATAGAACCCAATGGTGTGTCAATTGATTCATGTAGCCTCCCTACCTAGTAGGATAAGACTTGGTTATGGTATTATTGTAACTTTTGTAGGAGTTATTTTTATACATTATTTAGTTATTTTATGTAATTTTTAAATATGACAGAATTAGACTCCTATCAGGATACCATATGGATAAGAATTATCCAATTAGATTGCATTATAATAGCTATCTTTTGCTGTGTTTTGCCCATTCTCTCTCCCAACATCTATTGAGTATTAGCATATAAACAACTAAGGCTTTGTATTAGTTTACTGGTTTTACTGTACTGCTGTAGTATTGTCCCTATGGTGTGTCACACACCTGATTATTACTCATTCTGTTAGAGTTTGATTCTGTTAGAGTTTGTTACAGATTGTTAGGATTGGTTATCTGCTGAGTCAGCAACACCTGATCTATAAATAGATCTCTCTCTGTATCAGTTCATTATTCAATATACATTTTACATCAGAATCATATCAATGACTTCTCTCTCTCTCTCTCCTTTTCTCTTCTGTATTCATCTCTGTTAAATACAAAGCCTTAGTTGTTTATATGCTAATATTCAGTGCTACAGATTTTATCATAGGCCTTGCATGGACATAACAAAACCAAGAATTCCAAAAAAATTTAGCCAGCTTCTTTTTGGCTTTATACCATTTCCTGAAAAATCCAAAGAGAATGGTGGGGATGATGGTAGGAAGAGATGATAACATGAGTCATGACAGCTACCTAGATTAATTAGAGTCTACAAAATTATCCATGTTCCAAAGTTTTATCTTCCTTTTTATTTTATTAATTAAACCTAATTTGCATTTTGCATCTGAGCTGATTCGGTTACTTGAGTCAAACCAAAATCACCAATTAATCTTTTAACATTCAGGTAGTACAGTTACAGTAGTAAAAGAAAATCATATAAAAAAGAAAAGAAAAAGAAAATCATTGCGGAGTTATTCGAGATCAGGATAGAATACTCCGGATGAATCACAATTACCAAAAATAGGTAAAAATATTATGAGTAATCGATAGTTTGACATACCTGAATTATTATCATGACCTAATTCCTTATCTACTTTCTCAAGACAGCTAATGGCATTCCTGCATTTGCTCAATATAGCATCTTCGTCTGTCTGCCCTCCGTAAACAACATGATAACCCGAAACTATTTTCTCCAATGCATTCCCAGCAGTTGGCCTCTGTGAAAGGTATAAAGTACAGGAGATGGAATCAGCATGCAGAGCATATATACGAAGACAGTAGGGTCAATCAAATCATATAAACAAATGCAGAAACTATTACCAGTTTCATGTTCATAGGTTTCCCATCACGGACATTATTTTCCACATGCCTCCCAGTAAATTCTTCCTTAAGAATTTGACCACGTGAACCAAAAACTTTTCTTTCTTCCCATATACCAATCTGCATAAAGGAGGAAGTGATGATATAAAGAAAGAAATTTCACCAATACCAATGTTTCACATAATTCATTTTACCATGAACATTTTAAACTACAAGAGAAACATGAATCAAAACAAAATTACATATTTTATCAATGATCGGTTATAAGAGATAGAAGGGATGCCATAATTCCAGCATTCCTACAAGCAAATGGCATTTCATCATAAGAGCAATCTGAAGCTGTGAACCAGCCAATGATGGCATAGTGAGTTGAAGCAAAGAGCACGTTGTTACAATTACTTCACAGTAACCACCATGAATTTAGGAGAATCAAAGAATTCTCCACTTTTGCAAATATTACAAAAATCTCAATAAATGCCACAGAATGAACACTTTCTTCCTCATGGAGGAAAATATAAAAGAAAAAGAAAAAGAAAGAAACACTTTATTATTATTTTTTTGGAAACTATTACAAATGGGGAAATTGACCACAGCAAGATCTAAACCTGGGCTGTGATTGTAAGACAGCCATCCAAATACAAGTAGGTCAAAGGCCCACCAATTCACACAAAAACACATTACATAACAAAACAACAACACTCAAAAGTTGTTGAATTAAAGTGCAAACCCCAGAACTCAAAGGCTCCCTGATTTTAAGTAAAGGTGAGAGTCAATTGTATGTGACTTTAACCTTGCAATTTTGCAAAGAAACTGTTTTCTCGATTCGGACCCATGACTTTTCAATCACAAAGGAGCATCCTTACCACTACTCCAAGTCTCGCCCTTGGACAGAATACATGGTCATTACATTAAAAAGTCGATGTATTAAACAGTTTCTAAATAATGGAAGGGATGTATTTCATTCTTTCAAGACAACAAAGGCTGTACAGTTTTAGTCCATGCATCTACCAAAACTTCCCCATTTTAAATTTGAAATTGGCCAAAAACCTTATCAAAATAAAAATCAGTCCCAGTGCGGTTGAATATCAATCAATTAATACTACATAACAAACAACATGAAGTTGATACAACAACACCCAAGTTATTCCCACTAAGTGTGTCAGCTGCATGAAATTGATATTAAAAAAATACACAACTGAAAACTCAAATCAGTCACAAAACAGAACAAAAGAGAAAGACAATAATTGGTCTGAATCACAAGAAGAATAAAAAGAATTGTTTGATAAAAAAAGTCATCTCGAGTTGACTTGTACACTATGCTAAAGCCAAACTTATGCATTAATACAGACACATAACAGGATCAAAATAGAATGATCCTGTTATTAGGACTGGAGTCTATTATTAATACAAATAAGGGATGTTTTGACTTTTATATCATATTATATAACATCATAACAGATCATAATACACAAGATCATATTATTCAAAACCTGGATTACCTAATGCTAGAGAGAATGAGATTCCAATGAAAAACGCCAAATCCGGTTACCACCCAAAGCAATGTTATTTGACATCAAATTACCAATATCCAAACCCCTTTCTTTCTTAGGATGCTAATACAACTTCCAACACACCAGATGATCCTGTCTTGTATATGAAACACTGGAACAAAGAAAATCCCTCATAATCTTTTCTATTGATTGGACACAAAATAACGACCAAGTAGAAAATAGGAACGCTTGAGAGTTGAGAGACAAGTCTAAATAAGTGTAATCCGACCTCAAGAGAAAAATAAGCCCCTTTCCAATTATCTAGGTGCTTAGAGATTTTCATCACTACAAGATCCCAAAAGGAAGCAACTCTAGGATTCCCACCAAAGGGAAACCCCAAGTGAACAAGAGGCTACTCCAACATTTGATGTAAACAAGAGGCCAACCCGACATTTGATGACTCGCCATTGAAGCGAAAGAAAAGAGACTCAACAACCCACATTAATTCCAGCAACACCACTTTTAGACATATTACTTTCCAATGTAAAAGTCATTTGTGTTTGGATTAGCTTATTTTAGGGCCAGAAAAACTTTTAATCAAAAGCTTCTTGAGAGAACTTTTGGGGGGGAAAAAAAGCAATTATTTCCGAAAAAAGGTGTTTGCCGAACATTTGAACACTCGAAAAGCTTAAACAAAGAGACGGCATTGCAAAGGCTTTCAGCCTCCTCTATAAGAATGCTCAAGCAAGTTATGTTGTTTTATAATGCTTATTAACATAGGCATACTTATTAACAGCAAGATCTAGTGAACACCCAAAAAAGTATATCTGGCAAAATTACTCAGATTTGAACGCAGAATTCAACTCCAACTGAATCAGACAATGCCTAAATTTAAAAACATTAACCATTATCAAAATAAACGTGCAATTTTCAGAATAACAAAGAGACTAAAATCAACCATTTTACCTAGCTATCTAGAGACATGTTATTAACAGATCAAATGAGCTTAGTATGCAAAGCAGCATTGTATATTTAAGCAAAAAGTTTCCCAACAAAAAACTTTATCATTGATTCACTAGCAGTGAGCTTCTGAAAATTGTAATTACAATTCAGGCCCATCTAACCACCATTCTGTGTGAAATCAACTTGATCAATTTGAAATGAATTAGAAAATACTGCCAGATAACTTTTCCCATTTCTTAAACATGTCGGGACCTAACATTATACCTAGCATTTAGATAACAAAATTCACAAGTCAGTCTCTGACTTGAAGTTTAGCCAAGAGTCACATTAAGAAAAGGGCTTTGCATCAATAATTCAATATACATGCAGCTTGCTATAAGATAAAATACATGAGAAGACGAGCTAGCTTGCTGCAATTCCAAGTACAACCCGAAGAAAGGGGAATTTGGTCCAACACAATAGCTAACAAAAAAACCTCACTAGCGTATGCGAACCAAACAGATTAAACACTAATTCTTACTCTCTTTGTTTTCCTTTTCTTTCCATTTTTTTTTTCCTTTTGCCATACAATTCACTTATATGAGAAATAAAAAGATACTAATTAACTCAGAACAGACACGTTGCATTCCCAAATATAGTCAGCATGTCAGAAGAAATGCTGGGATAAGCAATAACCAAAATGATTCATCTATCTTTTAAATCAAAAGATCTAAGAACATTTTTAACTCCAAATAACAACAAATTGTTAGTGCTTTAGTTAATATGCAAAAAGAAGAAGAGACAAAGTCAAAAAACATGTATCTCATTCACTAATTAAGAAAAATGAATTATTAAATTACCAGTCGAAGCGCTGCATTCCTAGCAAACTCATCTCCATTTTCAATCACATCTCGAAGAGCATCTGGAAGAACTTTCCAGAATTCACCTACAAACTCAGAACCCTTTCGCCTGCTGTTCTGTAAAATATCATTTGCAAGATACAGAAATGCCAACCTCTTCTCACGAGGAGAACAATGAAATTGTCGATCCCATGTTTCAACAACTTGTTTGGCTTTATTCATGTGAAAAATGCACCAATGTGACAAAGCTTAACCACATTAAGGATTACATCCAAGCAGCAGCGAATATTTATATGCAACAAATTTGAAAAGCACCAAATGAAATCATATGCATATTTATTATGTGTGTGTGTGTGTTTGAGTGTGGGAGAGAGACAGAGAGTCTAAGAACATATGCAGATGAATTTTCCACGAGATTGTTGCTAGCCATCATATGGTAAAGAAGAGAATAACAATTATATTGCATTGTTACTAGTAAAACCATGGCTGAACGGACTCAATAAAGTGGAAACAGACAAAACAACTACTTGAACAATACAATAGTCAACACAAACAGGGAAAATATACATTAAAGCCTATAAAATGATCTTGAAGGATACTCTCTATGCTCGTCTGTGAACCATTCAGCTTGGCTAGTTTTTCCACTAGAATCTGTGGATTGAATGTGCTACCCATCTTTCCAATTAGAGTTGGCACAGCTAATCAACTAGAATTTCAACTTTCATAAAAACCTTAAGAGAAGAAAACAAGAGAAACGCAAACATTAGTATAGAATCAACCCCACCAAAAAATTATATAATGAATGAAAGATACAGATATATTTTGATTGATACACAACAACACATCAGCCGTTACAAAAAACACACAGGCTAAACGAATTTGACAAAAAAAAAAAAGGCCCTTCAAAACAAAATACCCCCACTAAACACTAAACACACTTGAAATGTCATGTTCTAACATCTAGTTGAACTTGGGGGCCCTTGTCATAGCAATTATGCACGGAAACAGACACAAACTACTAACAAATGTATCTTTTCCATAAAGGACACCATATTCACATACATCAAATACCTATGGAGTATGGACCATAGTCACCTGGTTTGCAATATTCTCTAATATGGGCATGGGTATAGGAAACAGAAAGCAATTAGATAAATATGTGATACATGGGAGGTACACATGGTATGCAATTTGGGTTTGCATTCCTATTCCTAATATAAATTTTACAAAAAACGTATAAGTTACATTAAAAATTATATCAAACTACACATTTACCTTTTACATTTTTTAAAAAATCCAATAATATTGTATTTATGTTACATGGAAATACAATGTCTTCCAAGTTTGTAATTTTAAATTAATAATAACACAGTTATAGATGTTAATATATTTTAGCCTCAAGTCAACCATGGCAACAAGAAGCTTCAATCACCAAAACATACTATGACAGCCCTGCAACTGGTAACCTCATCACAGAGAACCATGAAACAACCATATACTAACTCACCAAAGATTCACTAATATCTCCAAAAACCTCCCCTCCACTCTTTTATTCATATTACAGAGAACAGAGGCTCTGTTTTTTGAGTTTAGCAGCAGAGCACTGGAATGAAAATACCCAGACTTAAGTGCTTCCGAAACGTCAATGCCTCAAAGGTTGTGTCCCAATATGTGTTCCACAATGAACTGAAACAGGAACGTACCAGAAACTAGAACGAAGGGGGGGGGGGGGGGGGGTTTGGTAACCGTGGTATGGACTCTACAAGCAATATGTACAGAGTCTGCACAGACATCCACAGTCAAGCATTCCAAATATTAGTTCGTTGAACCTTCAACTGTGATCATTTTCTAAAAGATAAAACATGGGAATATCTTTTCATGGTTTTCAAATTCACTTGGGGTCGATAAAAAAAGCAAATGTCCAGATTAGGCAATTGTGTATAAGTAGTTAAGCAATAACAAGACTAAATAATTTTTTTATATGGCCCCTCATTTGGTAGACAAATGTACAACGTCTCGAAGACTACCAACGAGTATCAAAGAACAGTAGGCACAAGTAATACAGGCTGGGGTAAACCAGACAGTGAATTTCAGGACTATACAAATAAATAAAATAAGAGATTTGGCCTTGAGATGTAATGTTTTAGAAGATGGACAGATGTAAGCGCTTAGGGCATTAATAAATTAATATTATAATTACGAGCATAAAGCTAAAAAGGTGTTTGGTTTGCAATAAACCGCAAAAAAGCACAAGAAAAGAAAAAGTTGGCTGTCAAAATAAAATTACCAAAATTAATTTTTTTATAGAAAGCTAACTAGGAAAGCCTATAAAGAAATGTAAAAGGAGAGTACGTCTAGGCATCTTAGTCAAAATTGCGATCTTACTCGTGAAATCGCATGATCTTACGATTTTCCCCCCAACCAGCGATCCCATTCATGCTCAGAAACTCATTTTGGTTGGATCACGCGGGATCGTCGAGTAAGATCATACAATCATGGATGATCCCACCATGCTGCAAAAAATCCCAAATTTTAAGACCAACACCACTGCAAAAAGCCCATTTTGAAACCCCCCCCCCCCCCTCTCTCTCTCTCTCTCATTTTGAAGCCCTAACTCACCGTCGTGCTGCTTCATCCCTCTTCTCCTCAGCTGAGTGCCCTCTATCTACGCTGAACCTGAACCCCCCCCCCCCCCTCTCTTCGTTTTGAACCCCTTCGTCGGCTAGTTTTTAGCCTCTTCTTGCTGCTGCTCCTGTTTCCACTGGTTCGGCCACTACTCAGGTTATTGGGCTCTACTCTTGTTCAGCCGGGTTGGGCTCTACTGCAGTACTGCTGGTTTTATATGTAAATATATATATTTGAATATAATTTTGTATCCTAGGTTAGGATCTTACAATCGATCACATGATTTACATGTTTCCCCTTACAATTGATCACGTGATTACATGTTTCCCTCCCCCTTCTGATCCTAGGTAGGATCTCAATTTTGACTACTGAGCCCGAGCAATCAAAACTTCGAGACAAGGCAAATAATCCTCAACAAGATTGAAGGATTTAATAGCTAATCAATTGGTAGATTAGTTCTTGCTTTAATTATAAAAGTGCAATGTAAAATAAAACTTTTATACATAAATGTAATAAGTTATTTATTTATGCCCTAATCAAACAAAAGCTTATATTTCCATTTATACGCAATGTGATACGCAGAAAAGTACAGAAAGACATGCACACAGAGGGGAGATCAATACACATGGATGCACACACGACAGACACGCACGCACTTGCCAAAATTAATGACATCAAAGCACAAGCCACACCAACCAAAGCGCATAAACGGAAAATACAGATGTAAAACATACGTAAAACATACAAGTAAGAGAAAAACGAGAAAACACAGACCAGCTCCATATGTAAGCCAAAACTTCCACTTCAACATGAAGTTTCTTCATAAGCTTCTTAAAATTCACATTCAAGCAGTTTTATTGACTTATTGTTAAAGCCATACACCATGGACTCACATTGAAAGACATGCAGTACAAGGTTCACATTCATATCATAAAACAATTATAGAGAATTCCACATGAATATGAAAATAAATTAAAAATAAATAAAATAGTTTCATTAGGGATTGCCATAAGCTCCTGGGGACTGTATCAGAATTTTCCAACCAAACAGTTCCATTACCCTTGAATTCATCAACAGATAAACCAACAAAGAGCATAAAAGTGAAACAATCCTCCTTAGTCCAATGATTAATTAAACACAAAACAAAAAATACACATAAAAAGTACAAACCCCGATCAATTGCCGCATATAAGAACAGAGACAAAAAGGATAAGTGAAGCCACAAGAAAAAAAGTGCTAACAAAATTAAATTAAAAAAAAAATCGTAACTAAAACTAACACTTAAGAGAAACGAGAAAAGGAAAGGTACATACATAGTAGTAGCAAGGAAGAATGCGGGTAAAGATAAGCGAAGAATGAAGCAACGACGATTCGCACTGTGCTGAGAATTTTTTGGTGATAGAGATGTGTGAGAAGAGTGTGTGGGGCTAGAGAGAGAGAGAGGGGGGAGAGAGAGAAAGTGTGTGAGTGTGTGTAGCACACCAAACAGTGTTATCAGAACAGCAACAGCGGTTGCTGTGAGTTGTAACCTCTTTAACGAGGTTGTTTCGGGTTTTAGTTCGGCTTGGGTTTGTGCTGTTTTGTGTTTGTGGTTGTGCTCTGGGGTTTGGTTGAAATTTTTTTGGAATAGCAGATAAACTTAATAGACAAAGGAATGATTGAAAAGTGAGATAGGTAGAAAAATGTAAAAAAAAAAATTGTTTGGTGGGAAAAAATTTTATTGGAAAAATTAGGTAACTTTATGAAATCAATAGTGTATTAAAAGTGAGATAATTGGTTTTCTAAAAAATCTGACCTTCAAATTGGGTTTCTAAACAGTGCGGATATTTATGTTTCTCATAAATTCATACAAATTGCATAGATGAATTTTTGGTAAAAATATATTAAAACAAACATGGTGTTTCTAAAAGCCATACTTAAGAAACATAGATATCTCTTGAAAAGCTCCAAACCAAACAACACCTTGGATTCAAGACAAAACAAAACTAAAGCTGTGCGTGCGTTCAACTTCAGAGAATCAGAGGGGGGTTTTTTGGATTCCCCGAATTACCCCTTACCTTGTTTCAGAAACTATTAGCTCCAACGGCGTCGTTTATGTTGTCACCTCAACCCTAACACTAGAAATTATGTTGCCGTCTGCGTTCATGTTTATAGGCACGGTATTTATACAAGCATATGTGGGTCTTACAGTAATTTTGCTTATACCCCACACGCGCCGTGTGCTTTATAAAATATTATTCTTTGTTCTTACCTTGTTGAGCCTTTCCTCGTTTCATAAGTTCTTCACACTTCACCTATTTATCTTTTTAAAATAACTAACTTAACACGGATAATATAAAAGATTAATTAAAAGTATAAAAATAATAAACAAATGATCAGATAAATTATAAGATTTAAAACACTCATGATATTGTGTATTAATATGATACAAGTCATCAAAAAAACAAAACACTAAATAATATTTATATTACGGGAATATTATACTTACAACCTATTTTCGTTTACAATCTCTTACAACCAATATCTTAACCGTTGATTTTCGTCAATCAACGGTTAAGATTTTCGCAAATAAAGTTTATTAATTAATTATTAATTCGCAATAAATGATAACCGTTGATTGACAGAAATCAAAGATTGAGATATGGTTGAAAACGAAAATAGATTATAAATATAACCTACCCATATATATATTAAATAAGAAATTTTGAAGGTAAGAAAACAAGTCATGAAATATAAGAAAATAAAAATTGTAAGTTTAAGAAATCATGGAAGATACTCTAAAAAAATATTAAGATATATTCATGATATTATATGATGGAGGCAATTTTTATCCTTATCATTGTGTAATATTCAATAAAATAAATCAATAATAAATATAAATAATAATAACAATAATACTAAATAAATATAAAAATTACGCCCAAGGCGTCACTGTGTATCTTCAATGGCCACTTTCAACGCCATTATTATAGTAAAAAAAAAACTAGCCTGCGCCAATATGTATCTATTAAAGGCGCTAAGAGCGCCACTTTATTATATTTGATTTATCGGGAAAAAAAGCGCTAAGAGTGCCACTTTTAATAAGGCGCGTCTAACACACACACACATATATATATATATAAAATAAAATATAAATAAATAATATAATAAACAAAAGTAATAAATTAAAAGCAAGTAAATAAATAGAATGTAGAAAAGTCTGGAAGATTAACGTGAAGTCATAGACGTCAAGATTTTTTTACATGTAGTGATTATTTCATTAATGTTTAGTTAGATTCCAATGGAACTAAGTTAGTTTAGTTAAAATTCAAGTATATACAATGATTAGATTAGTCAATATGGTCAATATATTTACCTATATATATGTGTGTGCATAACTGATGATCGAAGAAAAGAATAGAAGGCAGAAACTATAGAAAGGAAAGAAAACGCTGAGAAAACGAAAGAGAGGAACCGATAGAAAGGAGAAATCAAAAAGAAAGCAGAAAGTGAGGGGAGAGAAACAATGAAGGTAATATTGAGTGTTAAAAACACTCTCGTTTTCTTTTCAAATATTCTTTTAAAGATGATGTTTAACTTTAATAATATTGTTGTTTTGTTGTTGAACTCTTTTATTTATATGTTCTTTCGTTTGAGTTTTTTCTTTGATTTTATTCTTTTACAGTACCTTTATTTATTTATTTTCAAAGGCTGACTATCAAATTAACGAAGTATTTGGTACCAAATAAATACTAAGAGAGTGTGTAATATTAACTGTATTATGCTGCTGTGAACTGACCCACAAAGTTAGGAATCAAATGGTCATAGGCTAAAGGACGCCTTATCATCGCTTGAGCTCCGCCATATAAAACTTATCACATGCAGAGACCCACAAAATTGGGGATTTAAATAACTTCAATTAAATATTACACAATTTTTTATTTATCATTATTTATAATATTATTTTATTTTTAAGAAATTATTATAGAGAGTGATATTTTTCGTTATTACGGCTGAAAATGGTTATATAGTTAGATAACCTTAATATTACTGAGATTTATCTCATGTTTATTTGTTTATGTGCCAACCTTTCGAGAGAGACATGTCTAGCTTAACTTTATCTAGAGAAGGCTGGACTGTTACCATTTATTTTTATGACGACTGCTGGGAATATTATATAGTAATGGGTACTCAAGGAGCAATGACTATATTTCATCCAGACAGCATGGAAACTTATACTTATAGATTAGAGTGAATAAGGCTTATGTATTGTATAAATGTTGTAACCTTAAGTAGTTAGGAATGAAATATATTTATGGGACTGATGTAAAATAATTTAGAATATAGACTTTATTGTAAAATATTTAGAATGTAAAAGTTATGTACTAACTTACATCCATGTATAAATAATGAAGGATGTTAGTATATTCAGTTAATCTTTCTAAATTTATTTTCCTAGATATTCTTTTACTATTATTAATATTAAAATATATTTTTAGAAAACTATGTGATATTCTTTATTCTAGTTAAAACTAAAGGATGTTATATTTTATGGTATCAGAGCAACGGTTCAAGTAAATAAAAGACCTGAATTAGGTCTAAAAAAAGGACCTAAATTATTATAGTTTCTTAGTATTTTGTCATAGATCATGCATATTTTGAATTATTTCGTAATGAGCATGATTAACTCACTACCATGAAACAATATATGTAGATCCATCGCAGATACAAGCCAGACATTTTCAACTTCTGAACCAGAAACAGTAACCAATGCGTTTATCCGAGTAGCAGAAGCTCTTAGAGAATAAACTGTTACTAATTAGCAAAATATTCAGGAGTTGAGAGAGGACTGTAACACCAGAAACCATACTCATAACTCTGAAAGTGAAAGTGGACCTAGAAATGGAAATGCTCAGGGAGGACCTAATGCTGATAAAAAATACTCATAAAATTTCGTAAGTATAAACCTTCCACTTTTTGTGGATATTATAACCATGAGGCAGCTATGGAGTAGGTGAAAGAACTTGAGAAAATATTCCTGGTAATTGACTGTCCTAATACTCAAGTAAATTTTGCCACGTACTTGTTGGTTGGATAGGTAGAATATTGGTGGATAAATACCAAAAGATATTTCCAAAACCAAGGAACAGATATTACATGGACGACATTCAAAGATACTGTTCTGCCCTAGGCAGATGTGTCCAATTAGGATTGGATGATTGATCTATGATTCAGGTGTCTTCTCTGGATACCTATGAGTTAGGTATCTTGAGGACAACAGATCACACATTATCTGATGGCCTTAGCCTTGGAAAAAGTGTGTGTGTACTATCTAGGCTGCGTAAATAGGTAAAAAGAGATTAGGTCATACCTGTGGCGTTTAGCTCCTATTTATAATGCTTACCTGTGGGCCTGTGCTGATCATGGGTCTTACTGACCATGGGCTTCATTCTGGTCCATAACAGATACCTTTTTGGAAAAATATTTTTCTCAGAGTGTAAGAAACAGAAAAGAAATAGAATTCCTTGAACTGAAACAAGGAAACATGACTATGGGTGAATATGTGGCAAAATTTGAAGAACTATCCAGATATTCTAACTATGTACAGAACCAGCCTAATGAAGAGTGGTTGACAACTAAATTTGAATCTGGATTAAAAATTGAACTAAAAAGTATGATAATAGGACACCAAATCAAGAATTTTTCATCATTAATAAACAGGTGCAGATATATTAAAGCAAGCATGAAGGAGGCTGAGGAAGCAAGAGAGAAAGACAGAACTTCAAATCGGAGAAAGAATAATGACAACAACAAGGGAAGATTTCCTCGGGCAAAAAACTCGAGGAATGATTTTACTGGCAATAGAGGAAGAAAAAGTGCTGGTCAGATGAATTCTCAAATTTAGATATATCCAAAATGCAAGAAGAATCATGCTGGAGAATGCCTAGCAAGAAGAGGCGTATGCTTCAAGTGTGAAAAACCTGGACATATGTTGAGGTAGTGTCCTGAGAATCAAGCTCAGAATTCATCAAACTAACCTGCAACAAGCATAAGGGTTTTCACTCTTAGTGGCCAGGAAGCAACTCAAGCTTCAAATTTAGTTCAAGGTACAGGTCTAATACAAGATTCTCTTATAATTGTATTGTTTGATTCTGGGGAAACTCATTCTTTCATCTCCCTATCTTCTGTTAAAATTTAAAATTATCAATTTTCATTTTACCTTCTTACTTTGAAATCTTTCTTCCTACTGGAGAGAAAAAACCACTTCTCAAATCTGTAGAAATTGTCCTTTTTTCGAATTGAAGGGAAGTTGTTTGAAATAGATTCAGTCTGCTTGCCTATGATTGATATAGATGTTGTTCTTTGTATGAATTGGTTATCTGCCAATGGTGTTGTTATTAATTGTCATAATAAAAAGATAATTTTCACAAAAGAGTCAGAATTTCCCAATGAATCTTTATTCTTGTCAATTTCTCAACTTAGGAATAGTTTGTTAGAAGGAGCGCAAGGATATGTTCTCTTTAATCTTTCAAAAGAAAATGTTAAACCTGATGCAGCCAATATTCTCATTGTCTCTAAATACTCAGAGATTTTTCCGGTTGAAATTCCAG